TCTGACAGAAGAATTCAGAAAGTGCCAAATGGAGCCTTTCAAAGGACAGTGGTACTAGCATGGGACCTCCCCAAGCTTGGCGGCCATGCTTGGAAAGCTGCCAGCGCCGTGGCCCATTAGGTGGCCCCTCCTAATGCAGTGTTTTTCACAGGGTTGCCTCACGTGTAGACAGGGTTTCCCCAGCGGGCTGTAGCCCAGCGGCTGTCAACTGCTGTGTGGTCCAGTTCTTTGGTCTGCAACTAAGACCATCTGAATTTGATCATTACTAGGCCTCACAGGTGACAGCGCTTTGAAATTTGTTTTTATTTTATTGCACTTCCTCAAATCTTCTAAATTATGCTCTTAATGAGCACTGGTCAGGGTAGGTGACCTGAGAGGTTTTCTTCTGTGTCATAAACTGCACAGATGCTGCTTTGGAAATAGCTATGGCCACCTGAGAGACTTGTTATGTACATGAGACCTTGCACAGTACAGTATGTGGCTTAAAAGTGGGGTTTTGGGTATGAATGAAAACAGGCAAGGAGGCACTGGGGAGAAACAGGCTTTCCCACGCTGGCCATTTCTTCCAGAATGTTGTAGGTGGTGTTCACATGCTAGTATGACTTACAAAGCAGCCACAGCAGAGGTGTGTCACAACACAGTGCGATGTTCCCTGGCGTCACTGAAATGATTTAGTATTGAATACGTGCCTTGCAGTATTCCCAGCTATCATGGTGGGGACATCTGCCCAGGGTCTGGCCAGGCCTGACTCTGAAACGTTGGTGCTCTCTCCTTGCTCCATCTGTCCATTGGCTCCCGCCTTAACCCAAGAATACCTCGCTGTGTCTGCATTCCGCTGTGAACTTGCCCGCTATGATGACCTCAATAAAGTGTTTATAAAATGATGCTGGCCGCTGTGTTCCTTGGGCGGGATGGCTGCACCTGGCCCAAGCCCTAAACGGACTTCCTCCCTCCCCCTTACAAACTCCATTTGCCCCCCTCCTCACCCATCACCTCCTGGGTTTCCCTGCGGGAGCCCACAGAAGCCTTCCACCACCACCCCCCACCCCGGCTGGAAAGTGCTCTTCAGCATGGCGGTGAGGGAGGGGCTGTTTGGGTGTGAAATGTGGTCTTGTATTTGGCAAACGAGCTAGGCCACCTGCGGCAGCTAACCTCCAGAGGCTGTGAGACTTCTCCAGACCTGTGGCTGTTTCGCTCCTGTGTATCTGCTCTTCCCTTGAACATCTGCCTTTATTCCCTGATCTCTAAGAAACACTGTAATCTGGGTGAAGCCGACTTTTGTTTATAATAGAAGAATCCAAGGACCAAAATTTCTTCCTTAACCACAGCTCCGCCTTGTTCTGGCTGTGGTTCCTCTCCACGCCAGGCTGCTGCTTTTCAGGTTTGTGGGAGCCGACCCTCTGCCCGGCCCATTTCCACCCCAAGGCTGTGCCTGTCGGTGCTCAGGTCTCTCGACCCCTTCTCTGGGGCTTTCTTGTCACCTGGCTGAGGTCCCATACCCCTCCTCCCCCCTCCCATGGCTTGATCACCCACCGCCTTGAGTGGTTCCTATGTCTTACAGACATGAAAGCGCGAGCTCCCCGAAATGAAAGGACTTGTCTGTCATTGTCTCCCGAGGTGACAGTCATCGCTGAGCAGGCATGTACTAAGTATTTGCTAAATGAATGCGGGATGAGGAAAATATCACTGCCAAGAGGACCAAAGTAGAGTATCTCCTGGGAATCCAAGCCATAAAAGGTCGGCCAGCCACTTCTTTTTCCCACGCCCTTTATACACAGCTTTCCAACAAATACTGCTTTTGGTGCAAGGGGCAGCAGAGTCTGTGACCTGCGCCTTTCAATTTGAAAGGCCACGCGAAAAACCCTTTCAGACTTGAACGCCGGGGAGGCATTTAAGCCCCACCCTAAACTTCCCTTTCTGAAAGTCGGACTGGATTTTAGCAGGTCTGTACCCCTTTCCTCCAAACCCAGCATTCACTTGCAGCGGGAGCGCGAGCACCGGGATCGCAGAAACCTTCATTGCCACGCAACACAGCAGCGAAGGGTCTCGAGACGCCCCCGCCCGCAGCTCACGCGGAGGCCGTGCGTGTCGGGCCCGCCCTCCTTCCAATCCAAACGCACCCCCTCGTGACCGACAGCTCCTGTGCCCTATCACTTCGGCTCGGCCTGCGCCGGCCCCTCCCCCAAAAGAGTAGCGCTCGGCCCGCAGCTCCGGGACCAGACTTCCGACCGCCTCTCCCCGCGGCCCTCGCGCCGACCCGCGGGGATTGGCCAGCCGCCAACCTCCGCCCCAACCCCCGAGAGTTATATAATGTACTCCGGAGCCTTTGCCTCCGCCCACCCGCCTGCGGTTATGTAAGCTGGGCGCGCGGACTTGGGTCCCGCTTCCGGACCAATGAGAGCCTTCACAACCATCCGCGGTGGCCAATCGCATCACCAGGGGGCGGGGCTGGGCCCCGTGGCGCGCGCGGGGCACACGGCGGGCCTCGAGACTGCGCGCGCGACCTGGCGCCCGCTGCTGGCGGCGGGGATCGCTCGGCCCCGCGGGAGGCCTGAGAGCGGGTGCTGCCTGGCGCCAGACCCTGCCCTCAGCCCCGCGGTGCCGAAACGTGGCGCCCCCGCGCGGCCGCTCCGTGTGCGTGCCTCGCAGACTGCAGGACGGATTCTGGGGAAGTTGTTCTGCAGCGGCGAGGACCCCTTGGGGGCAACCGCGGGGCCACGGCCAGCCCAGCTTCCGGCTTCGAGGGTTCGGTGGCCCCGGTCACCTTTGCCTTCTCTCCGCCCCAGGCTGGGCTCCTGGGAGAAGAGAGCCCCGCGAAGATTCCGTGGGCATGCAGAGGAGAAAAGTACCTCTGAGATGAATGTAGGCGGCGATCGGTCGGGATGGTCGTGACTGATGGCCCCTGAACGCCCTGGCAGGGATCTGAATGAGCGAGCAGTGACTGTCCACCCGCACAGTGAAGAAGCCGGCGGCGGGCGTGGGGCTCCGCGCGACATGGACCCTTGCGAGGACCGACCCGCGCCCGGGGGACACGCGCTGGAAGGGCGGTGGGGCTCCTGCGCCCGGCTGCAGGGGACGCACGGGGACGGCAGCCGCAGGTGACCCCGCTCTTGTCCACGCCCAGGTGTCAGTTGCCCTGGCCGGTGCTGGGAAAAGGAAAGCTGGTGTAGGGCTGTTTGCGCTGTAGTTAGAGGAGGTAGGATGGGATAATCGAAACACCGAGGAAAATTACCAGACCTCTAACGTACAAAGTGATGGAAGAGTTTGCCTCAGTCGGGGCTCTAGTGGAAAGCACTGGACAGCTTCCGATCTCTGCCTGGGGTCCTGCCTGTGAGAAAAGGGATCTATGACCTGAAACCAGCAATGCACACAGAAAATAAAACTCATTTACCAGGATGGCCACCGTTGTTACCATTTCTCTCTCTTTTTATTTTAATCTTCCAGTGAACAAGAAGATCGGAAGAGAGTTTCTGAAGAACTTCGAATGGTTGTCCAAGAAATGAAGAAATACCTGCCAGCAGAGAGACACAGTAAACCAAGCACCTTAGATGTCCTCACCTATGCCCTTCGCTGTGTACGCAACGTGCAAGGTAAATGCGCAGTGGGCAAAGAGTGCGTTTGCCACCGCGCACATGGCGGGTGTGCTTTGAACTTTCAGTGCAAAATGAGCACATTTACTGGTAGTTTCTTTAGTATCTTCAGAAGAACCTGATTTGGCTTAGCGGTTTACTTTGCTGGTCTGTTGCAAGACACAAGAGGTTAGCGTAAGCACGTTTTGAAGACTGACTTAAAAGGAATGTTGTCTTCTTTGGAAGTTGCAAGATAAAATATATTAGACTAAAAAATGCATTTCTTTATCATACACTTTGAAAGTTAATCATATGAGGAATTTACCACATTAAAGATGAGTGATGTTTTCCCTTTTCCCTCTTGACTTTTTTTCTGAAGGGATTTTATAAAGTTGTATTACCTGTAGCACAAACCTGCATGCCTCCTGTGATACAATTTTCGATGCTGGAGTAACGTTTCATCATAAAACCCTTCTGTGAATCTGGAACTTTTAGTTTCAATAACTTGTACTTTCAATACCTTGTTTTTGTGTATTAAGTATATCTTATGCCTTGTGACTTAGACCATGCAGAATTAATAAAATTCACACTCTTCAGTTTTCACAGCTGTTTTAGGAACAAGCAGAAAATGATGTGGATATGAGAAAAAAGCACTTAGGGTGTCCTTATCCTAAGAAAATAAACCAGCTTGGTAGTGCTAAAAATTTCTTCATAAGATATTGTTGTCACAGGACTACCTGTTTATTTCCCTGTGTTTCTTAGCAAACAGTGAATTTTTCCAGATTCTCAGTGGAAATGGATTACCTCAGACAGACGTGACCGTGTACAGTCCCAAGGAGCTGGCCGCTGTTGCTGCAGAGCACACTTCCAAGAACACAGTAAGGATTCATGAATCTGGCCGCCTCACCACTCATGATGTTTCCTGAGGAAAACTAGAGTGCAAACAGCCCTAGACCAGCTCTCTCTGTCCTCTAGTTGCATATTTAAAAAAGAAGATTACCGAGTGTTAGTAATCACAATTTGAAGTAGCTAAAGGAAAAAACTGCTAATTGCCCAAGAAAACATCAAGACCGTGCTCTGCGCTCTGCGTGCTGTGCAGTATTTCATCCTCTGCGGGCATCCAGGGATTCTGTCTCCTTTGCACCCCTTAGTTCTCTCAATTTTAGGACCAGAAAAACCTGCGGAGTAATTTCCTGCATCTGACTCTACCCTCCAGATTGTTAACTTGGATTTACATCATTCTTAGTTCTAATGTCTATGACTTCAAGTTGTAACAGGTGAATTTTGTAGAAGATGTGAGTTGTTATCTCTTGTGAGATTTTGGAAGAGATCTTCAGGATATCTTTTGAATATCCTCTTTTGGATAGATTGCTATGTAGGCCTCCGTGTAATTGGAAGTGGTTTTGTGATCTTGCAACACCCGTAATGTAGTTCCGGCATTGCATGCTGTGGTTTTAAGTTTAAGAAAACATTAGCAAGGTCTTTAAAACTAGGAGAGAGGGAAGAAAGGGTTAGAAAAGACACATAGAGTGTATTACGTGTCTCGCCACCGCAAAAGTAATTGTTGCAAACAGAGAGAGGGAAGCAGATGTCAACCTAGCAACCGGTGATTGATTATAGATACATTTGTGTCTAGTGAAACAAATCAGAGCAGTGGGCCTTAGCAGTGAGGTCTGCCAAGGACAGATTCTTGAAGGGCGCACCCTGAGCTTGGTCTGAATGTGAGCGACCTGACGCTTTTCTTCAGGTGTAGGGTGCTGTTGGCAAAGGAGAAGGAACCCAAAGTTTCTGTACCACGTGTCCATATGTTCATCCTGTGTAGGAGGAGCTGGTCTTTTGGGGGAGTTCGTTTTTTGCTTAGACATCAAACCTCCAGAAGTTCAATGCAGGTTTTATTTCTGTAATTTTAAAGAAGCACACTAGAGGAAACTTCAGCGTTTTGCTGCCTTTCTAGGCTGTGTGTGTTTTAAGCTATCCATAGGGCTGGAACTCTGCAGGAGCGTTAGAAGTGGCTCAGCATTTGCATTTGCTTTAATGTTTCTCACAGGATACCTTTGTGGCAGTCTTCTCATTTCTATCGGGAAAGTTAGTGCACATTTCTGAACAGTCCGCTTCCATCCTGAACTGTGAGAAGGATTTCTTGGAGTCCCGACGCTTTGTGGACCTGCTTGCCCCCCAAGACGTGAGGGTGTTCTGCACGCACACTGCCCGTGCTCAGCTTCCTTTCTGGAACAACTGGACCCAAAGAGGTAACGGAACAATGTTTGGACGAGTGTCACACCGCAAGAGTGGCTTCCTTCTTACCGCAGTGGTACAAAAGTTAGTGCCTTACTTAGAATGTGCAAATTACTTAAGAGTGTATGATGAAACACCATCATAAATATCTCCAGTAGCAGAGATTCAGTACGTTTGTTTTTAATGAAATTTACTTGAGTTATATGTTACAAATATAACGATTACCAGCATATTGGACAGCAGTTTAATTGGTATGAAGGCTCTGTTTCTTTTTAAATTTTTTTTTTTTTCTTGGCGGAGCTGGGGATTGAACTCAGGCCCTTACACTTGCCAGGGAAGTGCTTATTCCACTGAGCCATCTCCCCAGCCCTCTGTTTCTTTTAAGTTCATAAAATAAATGAGTTTCATCTTGTAGATACTTTATAATTTTTTGTATATTTTATTTTAGAGATAAAATTCTGATAGTTTGCTCCCCTTCCCAACTTTTTTCCCAAAAGTTTGTGAACCTTTTTCTAAACCGCTTGTTTACCTGAACTAAGGCTGCGGGTTGAATTTTCTTTGTGACACTCGGACCTTGTGATCTTTAATTCGTTCTTTGCAGTCACCCTTTATAGCTTATTTCATATTCCTTGTGAAGTGTCTCTTAAAGAGCTTATTATATATCAGTCTCCTTGATTCCAAGCCTTTTGCCCTATTTTACATTTATTTTTTGTTGTGGTAAAAATACATTGCATAGTGTGCTACTGTAAGGTGTACAGATTAGTATAAGGTATGCTTGTGAACTGCCAACACAGTGTAGGCCTTTTCTCATTCTTTAATCCAGTCATTGTCCCCGTAAAGTCTTCCTTTTCGTGTTTCTTTTTTCCAATGTAGACCTTTGTGCCATCTTTTTCTAATAGTCTTACATAACTTCTAGAAAACATGCCCACTGTCTTGCCTTCCTCACGCTCCATCTTCCCTCCTCCTCCCGTCCTTCAGAATTGCATTGTCTCCCTCTTTTCATCTTCCGTGAGTCCCCATTTGTTTCTCTGCTTTCAGTGATCGTTCGCTGAGTGAGCACTTGCGTAGCCGTCGCCGGGGTCGGAGCTGCCCGGGGCCGCTAACACGAGCACACGTGCGCTAGCTTGTCGGCCAGCAGGCCCCCGTTTCTCTTCAGCGCTGCCTGTAGCTCCATCATGCGCTTTGTTTTGCTGGTCACTGACTGAGTGCTGTAATATTCTTCTTCCACACAAAAACTTAGCATGTCCTGAAACACTTGTCTTTTGGCCTCAGAGTTTACTTATACCATGAATAGCTGATGTGCATCTGCTTTACTTGTAGCACTTTCTGCCATACAAATCTCAAGGACGCCATGCTACAGGAGCTCTTGGTGAGCCGCTGCCCATGTTACCTCCCTCGGTCCCTTGCTCTGAGCTCCGAGGACAGACCTAAGAGGACCCCACAAGCTCTCTAGCAGCCATTGGCCGTTCATCATTATAACATGTTTCTACTCAGTGCCAGTTGGATAAACCTCTCGGAAGGATCTGACTGCTAGGTTTTCAGCCTACACTTGAGAAACAAGAATAATTCACACACTACTGCCAGCCAGGGTGCCCGGCGTCTTGAAGGATCACGTCGGCTGGCTCGCAGTGTGCGGGGCTGGGGAGGCAGCTGCAGGGCGGGTGCCTGGAGCACGTATAGACGCGAGAACAGCTTTTACATTGCAGCAGCAGTCGCTTTCTGCTGCTGCCTGGGCTCATTCCCTGAGAGCCGTGAAGACCTGGCCGAATCAATGCTTTGCCTCTGCAGGGTTCACACTAACTACGTTCCTTGCAGTTTCTGTTTCTCCAGCTTCTCAGTTTTCAGTGGTTCCTCTACCAGGACTTTTCATGCCAGTGCACCATTGGCCCAAAAATGTATATCCAGAGAGTACTTACTACTGGAAGAAATACCAACACTGGTCCTAAGATCCATTTGACCCTAAGATAGGAGAATGTGTTTAAAATTGCCACATAGTATATCAATAAAGTGGGTGTAAACCACTGACATGAGTGCTGTCAAAAATATTGAGAGGAAGTGTGGCTAGTGATACTAAATTAGTATAATCTTTTGGAGCTTAGTAACACATGTTGACAGTTAGCATTTAACTCAAAATTCAACTTCTAGAAATTTACCCAGAGGGCTGGCAAGATAGCTCAGTGTCCTAAGTGCCTGCTTAGAGGAGCGCAGGAACCATGGTTCAATCCCCAGCACCACATGCCGCGCTGGCCCACCCCCAGGCACGCGCAGTCGGCCACAAGGCTGGGCGTGGTGCTCACCTGGGATCCTAGAGCTAGGGAGACTGAAGAGAGGAGGATTGCTGCGCGGTGGAGCTGTGTAGTGAGACCCTGTACCAAACACATTAAGAGAGAGGTCAAGAGAGATAGAAAGTTACCCAAGGAAATAATTTAAAATAAAGGGGAAAAAAATCAAAGTCATACATCACAGAGCTAAAAACAGAGATAGTCTAAGTGTGCAGTTACTCAGAACTGTCCAGAGTCATTACAGTGGAATAGGGTGCTTGCATCAAAGATGATTAAAGCTATCTCTGAAGTAGTGAACATGGGCAGTTATGGCTACCAGGAGGGCCTGAGGGACCTTACAGGAAAGCCTGAGGCACCTTACGGGGGAAGAGGCAAGTCCTGGGCCCCGTTTCTCCTAAGGGTGGCTGGGACCAGAGACGTCTTCAGAACAAGAGGTGGGGATCCTCTCCAGTGAGCAACACTTATCAAGGCGTCATTTGCGTTTGGCTTGGTAGTGCAGGTTCACCTTGCTGAGGAAGAGCTGTCCCAGGAAGGAGAAAGTGACGTTTTTTCCCTTTTTCTAGCATCACAATATGAATATGCTCCAGTGAAATCCTTTTTCTGCAGGATCCAGTAAGTAAAGGAGCTTGGGAGCTCAGCAACGCGCATTATACAGTGATTTGTATTTAGCACTTACTGTGATTCTTTTGTATTCAGCTAGATTCTCTTGTGGATAAAGGAAAAAAAAACTTGGCTCTTGTCACAAGAAATTTTCATTTGAATTGAGGAGAAATAAACTCATGAAAAGACAAGATAATACAATAGGAAAAAAGATGGAAAAAGAATCCTTGGCCCTAGTGGCATGTCAGAGTCCCGAGACCCCCTGGATGTGAAGAGCACTTCTAAGTGACCACAGTTTTCTCCCCTTGGCCACTTGTCAGTAACTTTAAAGAAAGCAAAAGATTTATACTTAATGAAGGATTTTAAAGATCCAGAGACAGTAAACTAGAATGACTGCGTCAGGTGTTGATTTTGTAAGGATTTACCAGTCATCTTTTGCATCTTCTAAATTTACAACAATATGCTAGTATTTGTTCAGTAAAAAGAAGAAAATCTTTTACATGGCATTGCCATTGTTCCTGTTACCCGACTGGAGCTACTGACTGCCCTAGGTAGCTAATATTTAGATATGAGAAAAACGTTCATAGTAGAGGAGTCACATATGCCACAGAATTAGGGAGCCTCGAGCAGGTAGCATGGGGACACAAAGCGAGGCCCCCAAGGAGGTGCGAGGTGGGAGCACTGTGTACGGAGCCCTCGGAGCAGGGCCTGGGCGCGGTGCAGAGAGTGCTGGGCGTGTCTGCTGTAGTAATCAGTACTGTTAGGTCTGTTCCTAAGCCACACACTGTTGCAGTGCTGAGACCGAGACACAGCTCTTGCCCTTGTTTGCATGCGAACACGGAGGGGAAGCGACTGGTAGCATAAGTATGTGCGTCTCCTGGCGTGTGTTCCACGTAAACAGTGGACAGAGGCAGAGGGTTCTGGGCTGCGGAGAGGCTGCTGCTGTGTTCAGGGTTGCTTTAGTCTTTTTTGTTGCTGTAACAGAGTTGGAGACTGGGTGACTTAAAGAAGAAGTATGTTTTGGGTTTGGTTTGGTGGTGTTTTGTTTTGCTGTTATTTTTTGAGAGAGGTTCTCACTCTGTCGTTCAAGCTGGCCTTGAACTCACTGTGTAGCCCAGGCTGGCTTCACACTTGCAGCTGTCCTCCTGCCTCAGCCTTCCGAGTGTTGGAGTGGAGGGTGTGCACCACCGCACCCATCCCCAAGAGCTGTATTTTGGCTCTTGGTTCTGGAAGACCAGCAGCATGTTGCCAGAGTTTGTTAGGCTTCTAGTAGGGGCTGCGTGACTGGAGGCAGCGTAGCGTGCGTGGAGAGCTCTCACGGAGCTTCCGGTCCCTCACGAGGCTGAGCCCACGACCCAAGCCTCCTAATGGCCTGCAGCCTCTCAGTATGACGGCACTGGCAGTCAGTTTCCACGTGCATTCTGGTGCATCTAAAGCACAGCGAGAGATCAGGGTACGAAGCCTGATTGTAGCCAGACCTGAAGGAGGCAAAGGTGTGAGCCACACAAGCCTCCTGAGGGAAGTATTTTGTTCAGGTTGATTGTCTTTATTGAGACAACATTCTTTCTTGAGAGTTTTCTAGCGTGACACTTAAGTACACAGAATTGTAGCAGGAGCCAGGTGTATTCTAAGCATTTTGCTTTAAAATGTGCCAGTCTGCTGCCATCCCTCCTACCACCGTTCCTCTGTTCTCCCAAGTTGTCTGGAGCAGATCTCGTGTGCCTGACCGCTTCCTCCTGTGATCTTAGAATAAGAGATCTCAGAATAATATCTTTTTCTAAAAGACAAAGTACCCATTCACCTGTCCTGCTCACTGGGCCCACCTATGGCCAGCAGGATCCCTTTATGGTGGCTGCTATGTCCTTGTAAGATTTTTCTGTGGTCTCGAGTGGCCTCTCTTGCATCAGCTGTGTGATGCCCCAGACTCAGCTGAGACATTTCTTGCCACAGATGTGGAAAATGGCATTTTTTTAGGAACCTCATTTCTGGTCATGGGAAATGGCATTAATGTTCAGCGGCCAAATCTGCATAGTAGGGCTGGGTGATACTACTACAGGGTGGTCCCTCCCTACCACTGGGAAGTTCAGTGGACAGACCTAGGCAAATTCGCTTTTCAGAAGGGAAGCAGAAAGTGCATTATGAGAAGTCAGTCACGTCGGCTGCTGTGCTGGAAGATGGTGTGGCTCCCCCAGTAGAGGGCAGAGCGGGCCCTGCAGAGCAGGTGAAGAGGCGCAGAGCCAGGCCTCGGAGGCCGTGGTGCGGCAGTGTTAGGATAGCCCGGCTTTGGTGTAGAGCGGGAAATAGAAAACCGCAGTCAGAGGTGACCCAGGGTTTGGGCTAGGGTTGTGTCTTGCGATGGACAGCGTGGCAGGAAAGGCAGCAAGAGCAGGCGTGTGGAGAGGAGCTCGGGGCGGAAGTGAGACTCGAGCGGCTAGAGGCCGGAGCTAGACGTGCAGGTCAGCAGCGTGTAGATGGACTTGGCGCCCTGGGACCTGACGGGCCTGGAGCAGCCTTAGGGAGAGAGGAGCCCGGAAGTGCCGGGGGATGCTCGCAGGCAGGCTTGGGAGATGCGCTCTGCACGCCGTGCAGGAGGAGCAGTGACGGAAGCGGAGAGGTGGGGGAGAGGAGTGAGGGCCGATGGGAGCCGGCAGGCCAGCGCCTGGCCGCGCGGAGGCCTCCTTGGGATTTGTAGTCCCAAATCCTCAGCTGGAAAGAGGGCAGAGGCACAGTGGCTCGAAACACAAGGGCATGAATTCAGCCTGGCACATCTGAACTCCAGAGGGAATAGTCCTCAGGTAGTCAGTTTTAAACTCCTGTGGAAAACAAGCCTGTTTAAACATGTTCAGTCTGGAAGTTCATCTCAGGAATGGCCAAGGAAGTGTCCCCAGCCTGTCTCCCAGCAGGCAGGCGGAGGGCGCAAGGGCCAGCACTGACCATCTTTGCTCTCTTCAGCAGAGGAGGAGACAGAGAGCAAGAGAAGAGCTACTCGCCGTTCCGGCTCCTCCCCTACCTGGTCCATGTGCACAGCTCGGCCCTCCCAGGACTGGAACCTTGCTGCCTAGCGCTGCTGGAGAAGATGCGCTCTGGTTACGAAGGTGAGTTAGGCCAACCGCGTTTAGCTGGGTCCCACACGCAGCAGTCAGATGGGAACGCACGGCCTCTTGGCTGCGGTCCAAGACCAGAAGGCTTGCTTGAGCTCCCCGCATGCCCTAAGCTCTGTGCGTTTTAACTTAGAGTAGAGCTGACCTGCGCGCTGGTTCACCCAGCTGAAGGACGCCGTGTGTGAGTAACACATCGAGCCCTTTCATTTGGGTGGCTCGCTGTGCCCACTAAATAGTGCTGCTCCGTGTTAGCCCTCAGACCATTCATGGCGAGGAAGCTAGCCGTTCAGTGTCCGCAGGCCTGCGTCTGCTCGGGATTAGCTTTAGTAGGTCTCACATTGTGGCTGCTTAAGATGTAGTTAATGGGGGGCCTGGCCCTAGCTCAGGCCTGTAAGTGGCTGCTTCCACAAAGCTCTCAGCCTCAGGTTGCTGGAGTTCGAACCTCACAACTCTCCCGCTGGCCAAAAGTGCCCTGAAGCCATTCAAGGAAAAAAAAAAAAAAAAAAAGATGTAGTTAGTGATGACAGACTCTGATCAGCAACTGTTGCCTCAGCTGCTGGAAGACCCAGCCCGAAAATGGTGCGCTACCATTTCCTGTAAAGATTTTATTCTTTTAAATGTGTTAAGTGCATGATTAATTATCTGTCTTTCTTTTTTTTTCTTCATAGCTCCTCGAATCCCAGCAAACAAAAGAATTTTCACCACAACACATACCCCAGGATGTGTTTTCCTTGAAGTAGATGAAAGGTAAATATTTCTTTAACCTTGAAAGAAATTTGTTTCTGAAAATATATAAAAATACAAAAAAGTTACATATCTTTCTACATTATATAATAAATGTGCTCGCTTGTTGGGTCTTTGTTACATACATTAGAATTAGTGTTGTCTGAATTTCTGATAAAAACATCTTACACGTTAGAATTCTAAAAATGATTTACAAGACACCTTGCAGCACTGCTGTGCACAGGCCTGGGGAGTCCTTCCCGGCTGGTCTCGCAGGAGAGGAGCCAGGTCGCCAAGAGCGTGTGCAGGGTGTCTGGTTGCACCAGAATGCTGTTATTTGCGCTTACAGGTGCTCCTTGCATCAGTTTAGGATGGGATTTTAATTAGCCAAAAGTGTCGAGGGTTCCTTGTCTTGGGGGTATTTTGGTAGTTAAATTTATTTGAAGAATTTCTCTTTATTCTGAGTGTCATTCCTCCTTTTTTGAGGGGGCTGTTAAATAGGTTGTGTTATTCAGGGAATCATGATGGTAGAGAACAGTTACTGCTTAGTGTCGTTTTTAACAGGTTCAGACAATGTTAACTTTAGCCTCACATTAGTGTCTGCCTTTTGCTTTTTATTATAAATTTATTATAAATTTTGCTTACTCATGGAACTTAATTCTGGGAACCAGTACATTGTACCACACATAAGTTGTAATGCAGAAATGTTAAAAATCTGGCATAGTTTTAATAGGTATTAGTTTTTATTTTAAAAAACTTTATGTAGGAATATGAGTTTATTTAAAAATAACACTGTGGGCTGGGGACTGGGCACTCAATACGTGGGCCTTGAGGACCCTTGAGGGGAAGAGTGCTCTAGGAATGTGGAACTTTCTTTAGGTACTTAATGTTTTTTCTTTAAGTACTTAACATTTTTCTGATGTGATCTTCATGGATTTTGTAAACGGTAACATAATGGAGTATATCAAGCTTTCCTGAAGAACTTACAGGAAAATAGACTTGTAGTCTTACCTCTAGAGATTCTGATTTAAGGAGCCTGCACTGAGCCTTTGCATCTGCTTTTTCACTTGTTCCCTGGATTTTGGTCCAAAATGTGAGATGCTCACCAAGACTTGTTAGTCTGTAGCCATTTCTGTGCAAGGCACGCACTTAAATTGTTGTTTTGGTAAATGCTTTCTTGAGCATAAAAGTTTCCTTTTCAAGGGCCGGCCAGGTAGCTCAGTGGATCACAGTGCCTGCAAGCAGGCACAGGGGCTGGGGGTTCGGTCCCCGCCCATGCTGAGCCGGCAATTGAGCCGGGCTTTGTGGAAGCGCCTGTAATCCCAGCTCTCAGGAGGCTGTCAACAGGCAGATCACTGCAAGTCCAATCTAATAGTGAGACCCTGAACACCCTGTAGGCCCTTCCTTAAAATACAAAAAAAAAAGTTTCTTTTTCATTTTTAAGAATTTTATTAGTCTGTGTATACAGTACATAATGTTTGCATTCTGCTTGTCAAGGTGGTGCAGGTCATGACGCAGCTTAACTCTGCAATCAGTCTCCTCCCCTCCCCTCCCTCCCCTCCCTGCCCTACGTGTCCCCTTCCCCTTTGAGAGCAGTCTGGCTCCTGCCTCCCATTACCTGACTTTATTTCACTTTATCCTGTAGACAAGGCGTGCGATGCTGGAGCTGCTGGAGCGTGAGTTTATTTTGTTGCCATGTGGTCAGGATGGATCCCAGCGGTGCTACAGATGACTGTGTATCTTTCTTTCTTTCTTTTTTTTTTTTTTTTTTTTTTTTGTTTTTTTTGCAGAATCAGGGATTGAACTCAGGCCCTTGCACTTGCCAGGCAAGCACTTATTCTACTGAGCTATCTCCCTGGCCCTGTGTATCTTTCTTTATGGCATTTTTTTCTGATACAGAATTAAGTCGGGTTTTGGATGTGTGTGTGGCTAGCCAGGGTCTCAGATAAGCTGGGCAAGTACATGGCCACATGGCGAGCGCCGAGCTACACTGCCGGGCCAAACAGGGTTCTTACAAATTGCTTGATGAACATACACACTTCCTGTGCTGTGTACCTATCCAGAGCAGTGCCTTTGCTGGGCTACCTGCCTCAGGATCTGATCGGAACGTCGATCCTCACATACGTGCACCCGGAAGATCGTCCTCTGATGGTTGCCATACACCAGAAAGGTACGGCTTCCCCTCTGTGGGAGCAGTTTTTATTGCCCCTAATTTGTTCTAATTTTTCCAATTTATTGCTCTCTAAAGCTTAATCAGATATATATTGCAGCTGCTAAAAGTTTTTTCTTAAAATGCTAAAACATTTAAAATACATAATTTGGAAAGCACTGCTTGATGATAAGGTTCAAGAATTATTACATGCAGACACTAATGAAAAAACTGAACAAAACATCCAAGAACTCTGGGATGCTATTAAAAAGCAAGCTCACACATTTTTGGTGTAAAAGGGCACTGAAGTTCAAATGAGTGGCATAAAGGATCTCCTTAATGAAATAATAATAAAGAGCCAGTGAGATAGCTCCATGGACTAAGCACCTGCTTAGACAAGTGCAGGGACTGGGGTACAATCGATGGCACCACATGCCACCCCAGCCTCGCCCTCAGGTGCACTGGGACAAGCTTTAAGTCCCGGCGTGGTGGCACATGCTTGTGTTCCCAGAGCTGAGAGGGATCACAGCTGGGAGGCTGAAAACAGGAGGAGCCCTATGAGTCCAAGCTGCGCTGTGAGACCCTGTACCAAATACATAAATAATAATAATAAATAATAACAGAAAACTTTCTAGATCTTGATGCCGATACAGACATCCAGCTATCGGGCACTTAGAACTCCGGACAGGCACCGCCGGAAAAGAACCTCACTGTGTCATATTACAGTTAAAATGGCAGGAACGCAGAACAAGGAAGGCATCTTGAGTGCTGAGGAGCAAAACACCGGGCCACTTACAGAGGGAGGCTCCACAGAATGACGCGAGACTTCTGTGTAGAAACCAGGAGCCAGGGCGCCTGCCCCTCAGCTCAGTTCTTTAAGCGGCTGCTCCAACAAAGCAGTCAGGCTCAGGTTGCTGTGGTTCGATCCCCACAACTCCAGCCAGCCAAACCTGCCCTGAAGGCATTCGGGGCCAAAAAAAAAGAAACCAGGAGCCCGCAGAGCATGGGATATGTATTTCAAGCCCAGAGCTAAAGTAACTGCCAACCTAGGCTCACTGTATCCAGCAGAGCTATCCTTAAAAAGTGAAGAACTAAAAGCCTTCCAAGATAAGGATAAACTTTTTTTGTTTTTTTTTTTTAAATGGCAGAAGTGGTTTGTTTTGTTTTGTTTTGTTTTGTTTTGTTTTTTTTGCTCTGAATGCCTTCAAGGCATGACTGGCTGGCTTGTGTTGTGGGGATCGAACCACAGCAACCTAAGCCTGACTGCTTTGTTGAAGCAGCCACTTAAAGAACTGAGCTAAGGGGCAGGCCCCCGATAAGGATAAACTTAAAAAATAAAAAATATATAACCACTTAGGCCACATTGCAGAAGATACTGAAAGAAATCCTGCACAGAAAAGGGGAAGGGTAGACAAGCTATTGAGAATTAGGAGTCAAATGTTAGGTTATCTATACCATTCTGTTATAGTTCTGAGTGTAAATGTCTTAATTTTCTAATGAAAAGACATACTTGCAGGTTGAGTTACAAACAAGATCCAATTCTTTGCTATCATAAGGAACTACCTCGGGGCCAGCGAGATAGCTCAGCGAACTAAAGTACCTGCTTAAGCAAGCTTAGGCATGCACTGGGACTGCAATTTGATCCCCGGCACCACATGCTGCGCCAGCCCTGCCCCCGGGTGCACTGAGCCAGCCAGAGTCTGGGCGTGGTGGCTCACACCTGTAATCCCAGCGCTGGGGAGGCTGAAAGCAGGAGGATCACCACGAGTCCAAGCTGCATAGTGAGACCCTGCAACAACCAAATACATTTAAAATTAAAAAAAAAAAAATACCTCGGGCTGGGGAGATAGCTCAGCAGTCTAAGCACCTGCCTGTCAGGCACAAGGAGCCAGGTTCAATCTCCAGTACCACATGCGGTGCCAGCCACCAAAACCAGGCATTGTGGCACACACCTGTAATCCCAGCACTGGGGAGGCTGAGGCAGGAGGATCACTACGAGTCCGAGGTATGTAGCATACCTTGTACCAAATAAATGATAAATAATTAATAAATAAATGATTTTTAAAAGACTTTTTTGTGTTTTGATAAATAAAATGAAATGACTCAAGCGCAGACATGCACAGACAAAGTGAGAGGCCATCAGCTGAAGCAGGGCCACCAAGCTGAGGCAGGGCCACCAAGCTGAGGCAGGGCCATCAGCTAAGGCAGGGCCGCCACATACTGGTAGAGGGAACAGTCTCCAAGCAGACAAAAGCAGCGTGGGTACGTAAAGTGTCCCACACACTGGTGTGCTTGATTTCAAAAAACACGTGTCACCTGACATAAGTGGACACACAGGACCCAATACAAGAATACTGGGTGACTTGGGTACTCCCGTGTCGCCAATAGATAGGTAATGTAAACCAAAAAAAAAAAAAAAAAAAAATCAGTGAAGAAACATCAGCATTAAGCTGCAGCAGTCAAAGAGGCTCAATAGGCTTCTCCATATCAAGCAACTACAGAATACACATTTTCTCAGCAGCTCATGTTTGAATGTTCCCAAAACCAGATCATATTCTAGGCCAAAAAGCAAACTTCAACAAACACAAAAAATTGAAATAATTTTTTGCCTCTTACTATTTTGTAACGTAATGAAAATAAAAATAGAAATCAATAGTAGAGACTACAGAATGCATATAATCACACGGAAATGAAATAATATACTTTTGAATGATGATTGAAATCAGGGAGGAAAGGGCCAGCCAGATGGCTCAGCCTAGGCAGACGCAGGGACTGGGGTTCGAACCTGGCCATGCTGGCCCCAGCCCCAGGGCACACTGAGACTGTGATTGAGACTGGGCGTGGTGGCACATGCCTATAATCCCAGTGCTTGGAAGGCTGAAAACAGGAGGATCACTATGAGTCTGATCTGTGTAGCGAGACCCTGTACTACATGCATTTAAAAAAAAAAATCGGAGAAAATTTTAACCTTCCTAGAATAAAATGGAAACAGCTTAACATTCTTTAGGATAGAGCAGAGGCAATTCTAAGAGAAAATTATAGCTATACGTGCCTATATTAAAAATAATTAGGTCTCAGATAAGTAACAGATCATCTGAAAGTCTTATAAAAAGAACAAACCAAGACAAACTAGTAAAAGGAAAAAAAATTTTAAAAATGAGAGCTGGAATTAGATAAAGACTAAGGGAACAACACACAGGATCTGTGAAGCAAAAAGTTAGTTTTTGAAACACAATTGTGAACCCACTAGCCAGCCTAACCAAATAGAAGGGAAGATCTAAATCATCAGAGGTATCATCAGAGGTGAGCAAGAGGATGTTACAACAGACGTATTGACACCACTGAAATCCTGAGGATTTTTAGGAGCTGCTTTGAAAACCTGTGTTCTAAGAAATTGGAAAAACCAGAATAGATAAATTTCTAGACACATGACCTGCCAAAACTGAACCAAGAGGATTTTAAAACCCAAAAAAAATCAGTAACAAGCAATGAAAAAGAACATCAGTACTCCTCAAACTACTCCATGAAATAGAAAATGAAGAAATGTGGTCAAACTCACCATCACACAGATATCCACCAGACAACAAAAAAAGACGGCTATAAACCAGTAACGATGATGCACAGAGATGTAAAACTCCTTAATAAAATACAAGCTGAGTCAACACCAAGAAGATCGTACGCCGTGGTCAAGTTGGTTTCAGAACAGTGCTGCAGGGCTGGGTCAGGGGCCACGCTCCATCCGTGTAACCGGGGAGAGCGACTGCATGACTCATTTGAGGTGGAGCAGCCTTTGGGAAAAATCTGCACCCCTCGATTACACAAGCCCTAAAAAAGCTCGGTGACTCGTGAAGGACCGTCTCGGTGTACAGCAAACTCACAGCCAGAAAAAAAAAAAAAAAAAAAAACTCACAGCCAGCATCAGTTTAATGGAAAAGATGTCCACTCTCAGTGCTTCAATCAAGTTTTGAAGTTTTAGAGCAAGCGGGGGAGGAGAAGTGAAAGGGCGCAAATCAAGTCAAGTTTCTGCGCAGCTAATGTGGGCTGCGCCTTGAGGACTAAAACCCTTGTCAGAGTTTCAGAGCTGATACAGTCCGCAGGGTGGTGGGATATAGAGTCAGTACTGAAAAGCGAATCACTTCTCATTGCAATGATGGACCAGCTGAGAAAGAAGTAGCAGCTTTGAGAAGGGAGAGGGACACAGGAAGAGAGAGAGGGACAACTACGGATCAGTCTAACGAGGGAGATGGAAGACTACACAGTGAAAATGTCAGCTAATTAAGAAAAAATTGGCATAGAAAATGAAAAGACCTTCCAAGTTCATGGACTGGAAGAATTAACATTGTTAAATCAGCCAAATTAGGAAAAGTGAACTACAGATTCAACACAGTCTCCACCAAAATGCCAAGGCCATTCTTCATACAACTAGGAAAAATCTAAAGTCAATGCGAGTTTCCAAACACAAAAGAACCAAAACCATTAAAGTAATCTTAAGCTAAATGAATAAGGTTAGAGACATCATAATACCTGATTTTAAATTATACCACAAAGCTGTAGTAATAAAAATAGTACAGTACTGGCACAGCAGTGGGCGGGTAGACTGACAGCAGAGCAGAGGGCACAGGAACGTGTGTGTGCAGCGCGAGTCAGCTGGCTTTGTGGGCCGAGGAAGCAGAATGCGCGTTGGAGAACAGATATCCCCTCTGACAAAACGTGCTGAGAAAACTGGGCATGTACAGAAAACTTCCTGAATAGGACTCCAATAGCATAGGAAATAATGGCAAGAATCAACAAATGAGACATCAAATTAAAATATTTCTGCATATTAAGGGAAACAGTAGACACAGCTTGAAAAATGAGAGAAAATCTTTGCCCACTGCTCTCCTAACAATAGCTGCAATAAAGTACTCAAAAAAATGTGTACCAAAAAAATAAAATAGTACAATGAATAAATGGGCAGATGAACAGATTTCTCAAAAGACGTAGGGCAGATGGCCAGTATGTACATGAAAGTGTCCAACATAGTAGCCACTGGAGAAAGGCCAAACCGCGTGGAGATTCAGTCTCACCGTAGTCAGTAGCTGTCATCAAGAATACAGAAACGCAGGGGAAGGTGCAGGGAAAAAGAACCCACTACGCGGCTGGAGGGATGAACAGTAGTGCGGCCACTGCGGAAATCCAAAACTGAAAATCGAGGTACCATTCCGGTCAGCCGGCCCTCTCTGATGTCAGCCCAAAGAAACTGAAGTGGGCGTGCTGCGGGGAGCCCTGCATACACCCATGTTTACTTGGCAAAGTTCACAGTGGCCAAGGTACAGAACCAGTGTAGATGGCATCAGCAGACGAGCGGATAGAGAAAATGAACACACACAGCAGAGTACCGTGAAGGGGCTTTTGTCATTTGCAAGAAAATGAGTAGATCGCATGTTCCCCCAATATGTGGAATCTAAAAAAGATTGCATGGAAACAGAAAAGAGATTATTGCCAGGCAAAAGTAAGGGACCAGGAGGAGGGGGCAGGTAGCAGGGGGATGCGATCAGACTGTACACCTTGAAATTCCCTTAGAATGTAGAACTAGGCAGGGAGGGACAGGGCCGAGGGAGGGTGAAAATGCTCAGAGTTACGCTGCGCATGTGTGTGAAGCTGCCGCAGTGACGGCCGTTAACGTATGTAACCAGAATACACTAAACAGAAAGATGCAAAATGGCTGGCGAGATAGCTCAGCGGTCCAAAGCGCCTGCTGAGGCAAGCGCAGGGACCACGGCGCGATCCCCGGCACCGCGTGCCGGGCCAGCCCCAGCCACAAAAAGTAAAAAAGAAAGATGTGAAACAAAAAAGGAAAACTGTTGGATGAAATAGCCATTCAAAGAACATTTATTGAGATTGATGGTGTGCAGCCGCGTTGCGCTGGTGACCGGAGGTGCTCGCGAGACACGACCTCACGCTGCCCTCACTGCGCAGGTAGGAGTAATGGATAGTGGCTTTTGAGAAACTGATTGTGCCCTCACGTTACCTAGTATTTAAACAGTTTAATATTTGTGCATTAGTGAATGTTCTTATAAACTGGTGATCTAGTGATTACACTTTAGAAATTTTGGGCCCAGGAGCATAGCGCCTGCCTGGCAATCATAAGGTCCTGAGTTGATCCCTGGTACAAAAAGCAAAAAAAGAGAAATTTGTTTGCTAGTAAAAAGATATTAACCATGTTCACCTTTATTGAATTTCTAGAAATCTTTATTTTAAAAAAGTTATAAATTGTAAAGCACAAGTAGCAGCAGAGGCCCTCGTACCTGGCGTCTGTGAAGTCTGTTTCTGTCCTGTCGTTTCCTTTAGTCTTGAAGTATGCGGGCCATCCTCCCTTTGAACACTCCCCCATTAGATTTTGTGCTCAAAATGGAGACTTCGTCATCCTGGATTCTAGCTGGTCCAGCTACGTGAACCCCTGGAGCCGCAAGGTTTCTTTTATCATCGGTCGGCATAAAGTACGAACGTGAGTTGGTCAACTTGAACATCTAAAAATGTTTTTATCAAAGAATCCTTTGTTTATTGCCTGCTCCTTGAAGCAAATGACAGATGAACTGAATAAAAGCATAGATTTTCCTTCAGTGCTTTTGGAAAAGTTTGGCCTTAAGAATCAAGGGCCTTGCACCTAAACCCATGATGTCAGGCTTAAAGTAGCTCAGGCAGTCATCATGTGAGCTGTGGTGTATTTGTTTAGCGTGTTATTGGCCACAAATGTTTGTCGGTTTTGTACCTGAGATGTAAAACATTTCACACGTTACGTGTAAAAGGCAGCATACAGAGTTTCCTGTATCTCTTGTTATAATTAGATTTGACACATACACGCAAACTGCAGTAGGGAAAGGAACAATGGAAGGGAATAAAACATGCTGTGGTTCTCTCTGGGTAGTGGGACTATAACGATGTTTTTTCTGTGTTTTAAGGTCTCTTTAATCATATAAACCTTTTATATCCACCTATCGTCAAATTGTACTTGTGCTTATTAGTAGAGCTTTGGCTTTAAGGTTGTATTGTATGTTCTTCCTTCCTTCCTTCCTTCCTCCTGGCTAGCGTGTTTGCTGCAGCTGGAGGATTGTGTTTCCTGTCCACGTGCCAGTCGGGTCAGCTGGCCTAGAGCCAGCCTGCGCCTCGGCCTCGGCCTCCGGGCCTTGAGTTTCTGGTCCTCTTTAACTGACCTGTAGGTTCTCCTCTTGTCTGTAGCTTTCTCTCTGATTTTTTTTTTTTTTTTTTTGCATTTTTAAAAAATTATACTTTTCAATGTCATGCTTAGATTGAGAAATTATGGTTTTTAGATTTTGTTTTACAATGTAAACAAAATTAAGACTGATAGTAAAATGTGTTTTACTACCAGTAAAATACATTTTTCTACACCTTTATAGCACAGTAGAGGTAGTATATATTGAAGAGCAAGGGCCTCTTGGTGGCTTTTAGGTCTCTGTACTCCAGGCTGTGGCCTCTGCAGGGCAGGTTTGGAAACTTAATGAAAGAAGTGGGCTCTTTGCTGCCCTAACTTGTGCTAGAAAACTAACTTAATAAGTAAAATGAGAAATAATACTGCCAAGTAGGTGTTACTTGTGTCAGTCAGGGAAGACATTCCCCCACCTGACCCCCAGCAGGAAAACCTATCCGGAAAGGAAAAGAGCCAGATGGTTGCTTGGTGTGAGTGCAGGGGCCCGCGGGAATGGGGTTTCCTTCAAAGCTCCCTCCTGGGGGTTGTTGAAGGGTCTCTGTCCTGTGCTCCAGGCTAGGCACAGAACCCCCATTTACCGCATTGTCCTCTCAGCTCTTTAAGTGTGTATGAAGCCGCCTAACATACTGTGAATACGCAAAATGTTGTAATTCTTTAGATTTCCCCACTCTACCTCTTGATATCTATGATTATGTGAGAACGTGAAAGAAGATATTAATCTCTTATAAAGCAATAGTTGTCCATTTATTTTTTTATACATTTATTACCTCCAGTGTCTCTGGGTTGCCTTCCCTGCTAAGACAGTATGTCAGACCTTGAGACTGAGAAGGTAAAACATTCTCTAACCTTCATGGAGTTCACAGTAAATTACATATGATGCCATCCCGTGCAGCTGGAGTTGGGGACAGTGTGACATGGCGAATGGGAAGGGAGGACTAAGGCCATCTTCCTTCTTCCTCCTCCTGGTTTCCTTTACATACTCAGCAGCCTAAGTGCTGCATGGCATTATTGCTACTGTGTGACGTCTCTCCACTGCCTGCAGGTTAATCAGTGCAATTAAAAATATAGGGTGATTTCATAGCAGCTTTCACAGCTAGGAATATCTGAACCTCATGGGATAAAACAGCAGCTTTGTTTGCATTTCAGGATTTCTCTCAAAGGACAAACCCAGAGACATGAGATGGCTAAGCTCGCAGCACGCAGGCAGCGTCTGCGCCATGACTCAGATGGCCTTTTGATTCTAGACCGCCGATCATTCATGAACGTATTCTTTTTATGGCTTTTTGTCTTTCTGAGTCGGGGTTTTGCTGAATAGTTTAGGCTGGCGTCCAACCCTCAGCAGTCCTCCTGCCTCGGCCTCCCAAGTGCTGGGATTACAGGAATGCACCACCGCGCCCAGCTACACATGTGTTCTTTTAATATATATTTACTAGGCAGCTGCATGGGTCAGGAACTGCTTGCCACTGGAGACACAGGAGTGAAGAAATCAGAAGCCCAGCCTTGGAGAGCTTGTGTGGCAGTGGGAGGCAGGCAGCGACAGGCGACTGGCAGGCAGCTGTGTAAGCTGCCGGTGTGTCCACTTGGGAGGCCGGGTGCACCTGCAGTTCACACACCAGGCGCCTGTGCAGCGCAGAAGATTCTGACTGGTTCCCACTCCGGTCGAGGTGGCGTAGGGCACAGAAGCAGTAGGCAGCTGCCAGTGTCGGGCGACAAGCCCTCAAGTGACAATCTCCAGTTGCAGAGCTGTTGCTGACTGCTTTCATGTCACTGTCGGTAGCCTGTGATTTTCTGGTACTCATTTCCGTCTTAGGGCAGTGTTTCCGGTCCTAGGTCAGTGAATGCTAAGTTGTGAGAGACAGCGGGCTGGCATCACGGAGAGATGCAAGTCCGGGCCGGGGCCAGGTGTGCTTCAGCCCCTGGCTCTCCTGCTCTTGGTTCTGTAAGCTGGGACCAGTTCTTAGTTGCTCTGATCTTGTCACCTTCATTTTTTATTTTGCAGGGCTAAGGATAGCGCGACAAAAAGCGCTCTGCCCGAGCCAGTCTCCTCTGCCCTCCTGGCTCTCAAATGTCAGGGACAGCTGCTGCTCCATAGGGATCAGGGAGGGGCTGGGGCACGGGCTGCTGCATCGGGATTGCTCTGTCGCGGCCCTGAGAGGCAGGGCGGTGGGCTGGGCAGGCTGAGCTTCACGCTGCCAGCTCCCCCAGCCAGGTGAGTGGAGAAGGCTGCGGCTCCTGCGAGGAGCTGGTGTCTGTGCCGCACTTGCCTTGGATGTTTGAAGAGTGCAAGCGTGTTATTTTGTTACGTTACAAAAGCTAGTACGGTCCTCACAAAAGAAGGTCCTAGATACATGTCAGCTGTTTCTTTGCTATCCTCTGTTGGTGTGTCTACCATTTGCGATATTTGGGTAGCAGATTCTCAACACCCCAAAATCTGTATGTCGTTGAGATTGAAGGTAGGGTTGCAACAGCTGCATTTGCACAGCGAGGCAGGTTGAGTCATGTTTGTTGGAGAGCACCAGTCATTAAATGCTGTTCTGCATGCTTGAGGTTTTAGGATTTCTACAGAATATTGCCTCGCTTTAATGTCAAATTTGAAATCAGTCATTATTGAAGGTATTTTGGAGGCTGTCGCTGACTTTACATTCGTGCATGTGTCGTGCTGAAACGACGGCAGAGAGATGGCTGCGTGGAGGAGCCGGGAGGGCTCACGAGTCCTTCGTTTGTCTTTGCATTTCCTGCGTGTTCATGAGGAGAAGTTTGCCTCTGTATTTTCTGTATTTGGAGTGAAAGGGTTGCCTTGAAGAGCATAGATTTAGTCTTTGAATAGCCTATTAAAATCCCACTGGCCTTCATTGTGAGTAAATTTCAAATTGCTTGACACAGTCTTTTACTTGGTGATTTGCTTTGTTTTGTTTCGCGTGGCATTTATAGGAGTCCACTAAATGAGGATGTTTTTGCGGCCAGAATAAAAAAGATGAACAATAATGAAAAAGACATAACAGAGTTACAAGAACAGATTCACAAACTTCTCTTGCAGGTAAAGTGAGAGCTTTTTTAAAAAACTCAAAATTCTAATAATTATGTTTCCTGTGAACTCTCAGGCTCAGTAAAGTCCCTTCAAAAGAATAAACTGTAAGCAGAGGTAAATCTTCACCTTTGCATTTCAGAAATCTTCTGTCTTTCTTTTTTTGTGTTTAAATGAAATGCTATTAATTTTTTGTTCCTTATTCTGTATAAACACACAGGATATTTTTGGAAGAATTTATTTCCAAGTAGGACAGAACTCTTATCTGAAAGAATTCTTCTAGTTCAAACATTTCATTGTGTTTAACCTCTGGACTTTGGCTTCCATATTTATGTTAACAATTCCAACTTTTAACAGGAGAAGAGAGAGGTATTGAGTTTCAGAATTACTATAAGGTAAGAGTAGGAAAAAAAAACACATTGAAAAGAAACACTATATCAAAGATGGTTTCTACTAAATAAAATTAAGCATGTCATAGAATACCTTCTCAGGGATTTTCAAAATGTCTTATAAAGTTTATAATTAATTATTTATTTATTTTTGTGGTACTGGGGATTGAACTCAGGACCCTGCACTTGCCAGGCAAATGCTTATTCTACTGAGCTATCTCCCCAGTCCAAGTCTCTGTAATTTATGAACTCTATAAAAATTGTTGAAAAAATATGGTATATAGTTCATTCTATCAATTCTTTTTAATTTCTTAAAATCTTTTATTTATTTGATACAGGGTCTCACTGCAGAGCTTGAACTCATAGTGAGCCTCCTGTCTCAGCCTCCCCAGCACTGGGATTATAGGCTTGCACCTCCACACCCAGTTTCAGTGGCCGGCACAGCATGTGGTACCAGGTGATTGAACCTGGGCCCTTGCGCTTGCCAGGCAGGTGCTTAGACCACTGAGCTATCTCCCTGGCCCCATTCTATCAATTCTTTTTTTTTTTTTTTTTTTTTGCGGTACCGGGGATTGAACTCAGGACCCTGTGCTTGCCAGGCAAGAGATTCTACTGAGCTGTCTCCCTGGCCTGATTCTGTCAATTCTTAACCCAGGCAGCTAGCATTTATTTTCATGTCTTTAAAATTGACACTGTGGCACTCAGTAATGTGTTGTGCCAAAGTACCGCCAAGACTAGAAAACAAGACTTTGCCCTTGGGACGCGGCCACGATTGTCTGTAACCCCAGCCTCAGGACTAGGAGCACCAGCTCCACACCTGCAGAGCTGAGTACTTTAGAACCTGGCATGTTTGCGTCCTGAGTTTTGGTGAGCAGAGAGGTGCCAAGTGCACACTGCCGCCATTTCACTAACCGTAACTGAGCTTGGCTTCTCTGCTCACAGCCGGTTCATGGGAGCGGGTACGGCAGCGGGTACGGCAGCCTGGGCAGCAGTGGGTCGCAGGAGCAGCAGGTCAGCGTGACCTCATCCAGCGAGTGCAGCGGGCACTGTGTGGAGGGCACACGCAAGGAGCCGGTGCGTGGCAGCGGGGGGAAGCTCGGCCTGTACGCTGGTGCAGTCCTGCGCCAAGGACCTCTTGGGGTGTTTTTGACTCAGATCTGTTCTCTGACAGGAAGCACTCAAATCCCTTCTGGTTTGGACAAATGTCTGTGGAAAGCAAGTGTCACCTTCGGGTTAATTGTATGCTGGCTAAATTGGCATCTTCCCGAATTCCTAAAGTGTATCAACGAACTTGGCACAGTGAGAAGCTAAATTGAAGCGATATTTTGCTTTTGTCCTATTTCTTTAGAGAACCAGAAGTTAGAAGTATTTTTTAATCTTTTAGTGCATGTTCTTACCTTTTTTTTTTTTTTTTGTCCGGGGGATTGAACTCAGGACCTTGCGCTTGCCAGGCAGATGCATATGTTGCTGAGCTATCTCCCTAGCATTCTTACCATTTTTGAAACTTGTTTTATCATTCTTTCCCCTAAGATGACCTTGCAGCAGGTCTACGCCAGTGTAAACAAAATTAAGAATCTGGGCCAGCAGCTGTACATTGAGTCGAGGACCAGGTCGCCGGCCAAGCCGATGCGGGAGGCGGGAGGCGCGCACAGAGCCGTCGGGCGGGGGTGAGTCGGCTCGCGAGGCCTGCTCCACCTGCACTGGTGCGCACGCGGGAAGCCCAGCCCTGCGCGGCTGCTCTGCGTCTTGATTGTAGCCAAGCAGAGCTGGCGGTGTTAGGGTGGCAGCAGAAGCGGCTGCTCTGACAGCTGAGTGGTGTTAGAGGGTACTTACGGTGTGCTTTACTGAGGAAAGAGCCTTTACCGTGATTCTGGCAAGTTCACAGAGTTCCTCCCAAGAGTCAAGTTTAGAATACATTTCCGGTGATGATACATAGTAAAGCAACAATCTCTTTTTCATTTCAAACAAATGGAGACGAGTGAAAAATGTCGGTCCTTTTTTCCTCGATGCATGCTTACCCAAATGTGAGGTAAAGACCGGGCCAGAAGAGTTGGGCCAGCTCAGCCAGGCAGCTCTTTTGTGGATGTGTGGTACTGGCAGTGCAGCCCCGGGGCACGCCTGAGCTACATCTTCCTATTTTTTGAGACAGGTTTTAAGGTGCCTCCAGCTTAGTCTTTTAGCCTCGGCCCCCAGGTGCTGATATTACCTGCATGTGCCTCCATGCCCAGCAAGGTGGCGTTCTTTTGAAAAGCTAACCTAATACACTGCAGAGCAAAGTTCTGTAATACAGAGTTCTATTACATAACATGAAACTCGATACTGTAACAGTTTCTCTTTTCAGCTTGGTAGGAAGCTTGGCTTTCCATTCAGACTGGATGGACTTTTGAGTTTAACTTACTTCCATCCTGCTGCCCATAACTTTAACCATTTCCTCTGTTAAACAGTTAATACAGTTTTGGGGAACTCAGTTGCGATCGGTCTCTGTCTTGTGGCAAGTGCGCAGTAGAGATGACATTTTCTTTGGAAGGCCAGTACCGACCGCAGCTAGGAGCAGTGGTAGTAGCTGTGCTTTTTAAGCCCTGATACAGTGTACCCTGACGCATCCCGTGCGGTCCCTAGGTGATGTCACTGACAGCCATCTTGGTCGCATTGAGCTTCTGATTGCTGAGACTGAAATTCACGGACGACGGGAGTACCGGAGTTGATTTTTCCCTGTGCTGGAGGCTGGGACCCAAGGTCAAGGTGTGGCCCCACCTGGGGAGGCCCGTGTCTCCTCTGTGATGTCAGGGCCTTGAACGTTGTGTCCTGCAGGAGGAGGGCTGCTGTGTCCCCACATGGCAGCAGGGTGGAGAGGTAGAAGGGGATCAAGCAAGCTTCCTGGCAGCCCCCCTTTCTTTCTACAGATGGCCCTTCTTGTGTTGTGCAGACTTGGGGTGGGAGAGTGTGCATGCACGTGTGTGCGTTGCTGGGCTCCAGCCCTGGGCCTTCTCTCTGAACCATCCCCTAGCGCGTCTTAAGCCTCACGCTGAGGCGGGTCTTCAGGAAGAAGTGTCCGCTGTGCCTGTGCAACTTGATCACCTCCCGAGGATGTCGGCTCTCACCGTGGTCCCGCTGGGGTTTAAATTTCAAATCACGAATCTTCGCAGGACACGTGTGTACAGGCCGTGGGACTCCTCCAAGCCCCATCCGTTAGTCCTCAGCCTTCTGAAAGTCCTGTCCTTTAGTTTCTGCTTTTCACCTTGGTAGGAAGTTTGTTGTTCCACTCATTTCTTCTGCTGTTAGACATAAGGGTGTGGGCTAGGAATACAAATTGCCTGGGCACCATGGCACACACCTGAAATCCTAACACTTGGGAGGCTGAGGCAGGAGGATCACCCTGAGTTCAAGGGCTACATATGAGTTCAAGGCCAGCCTGCACTATGTAGTGAGACCTGTCTCAAAAAAAAAAAGCAAAGTTTGTCCCTTGAAGCTAGCATATTCCTTCAGCGCAAAAGACTTCATCTGTCTTAAATATTATTATCCTGAATCCCAGCAGAGAAGCTTCTTCGGAAGTCTTAAAGTTAAAATGTCCACATGTTTTCCCATTGTGTGGTTCCGTCGGTCCTGTCCTCTCCGGCCTTGATCCAGAACTTGCTATGAGCGTCGCAGTTTTGATTCTGACCTCTGTGTTTCACTGCAGAGTAGCCTTCGTTCTCACTTCCCAGGACGTGGTGTCTGCAAGAACCCATTTTAAAAATAAAAACAGGCTAAAGACAAAAGTCTTGAAAAATAGGCCATGGTAACATGAGCCAGCAGAAAGCCGTGTTCAGATCAAGAGTCCGTGGAACACCTGCACAGTCATCTGTCCGGGCCGTAGTGTGGACCACAGCATTTTCAAAGCAGGGACATACTACAGAGCACGTTCTCATACTATCCAGAAGTCCAGGGCAGATGGATCTAGAAAACCCCCAAATGCTTCGAAATGTACAAACCCACGGGTCTGACACTACCAGATTCTCTCAGGTGACGCGAGGTGGATGACATCGGCCTTGTGATACAGGACCATCTAGCAGTGATGCGGGGGGCTCAGCGCGCGGCTGGTCTGCCGCTGCTGCTGGTCCTGGGTCACGGAGCCTTGCTGATGTGTGGCCACGAGACATAAAGCGATCGATCGTTTCCCTCCCCAGGGTAGGGCCCTTTACATCCAAGATGACTTCTCAGTCACGTTGGCTGCAGGTCCATGTCCTTGCTTTGAGGAAGGACACGCCTTGCAGGCTCGCTAGCATTGACCTTCCTGAGAGCAACAGCCCCGGGCACCGGCCACCTCTCCCCGCATCTGACGCGGTCACCCCCTCCTGGAACTTGGCTCCATTCTTAGGCACCTTAGGCAGGATTTTCTTAGATCCCTGACTGTTTCTCTGTCTGCCTTTCTGGCTCATTCTTCTTTCACAGGAATTTTGAATTGTCTGGCACCAGGGCCTAGAGGCCTTTTTTCTTGTCTGTACCAGTGACAGCAGTGACTGCCGGTAGCTGTACTTGGCAATTTTAATCAGATTAAATACAAATATAGTGAGAATATTTTTATTCTTCAGTTGCTCTGGCTACACTTCAAGTGCTTAATAGCTGTATGGTGGTAGCGGCTATCAAATCGAACAGCGCAAATAAAGGACAATGCCAGTGTCGCCATATGTTGCACTCGGGTAATGCTGTGTGCGTCCCGGTACCCGAGATGTGCACACTATCTCGTCATCTGGTTCTGCGTGGTGCTGGGAATGATCCCTTGCTAGGCATTTGCTGATGAGTCATAGCGTAGCCTCCAGTGTAGGTGTACAGACCAGGGGGAGGTGGCATCTGCTGGACTTGGGAAGTCCCTATCAGCCTGCTGTCTGACATTGTCACTGATAACCCTTGCCCAGAACATGTGCTGCTCTCATTTTGTAAGCACCGATGTGACTGTCCGTGTGCTGTGCACCTCACTGAGTCCACATCGTTATGTGTTGTGTCTCTCTGCATCGGTGCAGTTACACCTGAGCTCCCGTGTGACAGTCACGCAGCCTGTTAATGTACATGCCGTCAAGTACTGTGGCTTAATTTTGCTGACTTTTTTTTTAGCTATATGCTGAGTATTTTAATTGTTCATCCTTTGATTCGCTTTCAGGTAAGCACAAGGCCTTTTCTTCCTTTCAGATGCTGAACAATAAAAACTTAACCACTGAGTCCTGCGAGGATTTGAGGAAAGACCAGCATAGCCCATCTTATCAACAGATAAATTGTATTGATAGTGTCATCAGGTATGAGACAAAGTTATAGTAATTGTTTTTCCCAAGAGTATATGTGTATGTGGAGCTGTTGTGTAATTTAAAGAGCTGTTTGGTCTTGATTTTATACTGTAAATTAATACTTAGAGAATGCTTACTGCATGCGGCTTGCCGTGCACTGGCCACTACGGAGGGTACAGAGAAATCCCAAGATGCACCCCTTCCTGGGGAGCTGGGGGAGCCGAACCTAGTGTATGGCTGTTACGAGGTGTAAGATGCGAGGGCCAATTCCAGGCCATGCCAAGGCACATCAGAGCCCGGTGACCCACACTGAGGTCCCAGGCTGTGAATGAGAAAGCACGGAGCATCCCGGCAGAAGCGGCAGGGAGAGCAGAGAAGCGGGAAGTCGCACGGCCGGGACCCACAGGAAGCTGAGGCCCGCTCTCTTGCGCAGGTATCTGAAGAGCTGCAGTGTCCCAGCTCTGAAAAGGAAGTGTGTCTCGTGTACAAACACGGCTTCTTCATCCTCGGAGGAGGACAGGCAGCGCCACAGCACAGGCGGTGCCCAGGCTCTGCAGGGTGACAGCAGTGCTTTCCTAGGAGGTGAGAGTTCATCCCCCCCTCCACGCCCCGTCTTCTGTGATTTCATAGTAATCCCAGAATCCTGCTTTTACATTACTGTGTTATGGCTAGTCGGCTTTAATTTGTGAGAGAACAACCTCTGTGAACTGTTCACTTCCTTTAATGTTCTGTTCCTGTTGATAGTTTTCTTTTCACTTTCATTTCTCTGGTCTCCAGCTGCCACACAGACCCCAGCAATCCCTACTCCAGAAGTGCCAGCGAACGCCCCGTCCACGGATGCCGGGGCGGTGCCGCGCTGAGCCTGCCCCCTGCAGCGCTGAGCTCGGGTGTGAGCTGGTGCAGCTGCAGCAGCACCCTGGTCCACGTCCCTCGCCTGGACTCAGGTACGCCCCTCCGCTTCCCGGGGTCGTGACTCGCTGATTATAAGCGCTCCTCCCTTCTGTGGCTGAGTGGTGCTGGAAAGGCCATGTCTTGGCTTCAGGTTTTAGATGGCGCTCCATAGTTACGTTATTTGTGAATGGGATCAGCGGCCGTGTGTAGAATACTTAGAAGGGACACACCTACTTTACAGCATCCTTACTTGGTGTTCTAGTCTTACTCCTTTTTTTTTTTTTTTTTACTATTTTCTGTCCACTTGACCTTTGATTCCACATAGTGACTTGGTGACAGACCTCTCTGGGGACTGTGGTTGCAAGTGCATCTCATGCTTGTTTGTCCCAGCGTAGCGAAGCAAGGAGGAGTTCTGTGTGCCGGAGGGAACAGGCTTCCTGTGGGGAGCAAGTGGGAACAGGCAGGAGATGGGGCGGGAGGACGGGCTAATGGCGAAAGGAAGCCTTTGAGAAACTGGATCTGGAAGATTTACAATAGAAGCAAGAAGTCAATGTGTGTATACAATTATAGCTATAAAATATGTAGATAAATTTGTATAAAAAATAAAGAGAAATAAAAATTTGTCCTAAGCTGGTGAAGTTCGTTATATTCTAGCAGGTGTAATGGTGTTTGTAAAACTTAGCGAAATCATTTTGAAACTGAAAATCAGTAACTACCAGCGATCAGTAGGAATCCCCGGTGAAAGTGTCTTCTTCCCCCTGGCAGAGTTTGCCGCCCTGCCGTGCGAGCCCGGGGCCCTCAGCACCGCGCCGCGCCGTTGGCGGTGGCGGCCCCAAGGGAGTCCAGGGGCCCGGGGCTCACAACGGCCGCGCTGTCGGCGCACACCCAGAGGGAGGAGCAGGACTACGTGGACCGCTTCCTGGAGCGGCTGCTGTCCCGGCCCTACGGCCGCTGTCTTCAGCGGGAGAGCAGGAGTGAGAAGGGCGGCAACGCAGCGGAGTGCTCCTGCGCGCGAGGTAGGGCGCAGCCCAGTGCTCCTGCGCGCTGTCAGAGCTCACGCAGGTCGAGTCCTCTTTCGGTCACAGCGGGGGCTGGGCGCGGGGACCACACAATGGAGTGCGGTGTCCACCTCCCGGTGCCTGCGTGTGACTGCCAGCACCTCCCTGCAGGAGGACCGTCCCGCTCCCAGTACCTCGCGTAGTGCCGGCGGGTGCTGCACTGAGTCATCCAGGGGTAAATGTGTGTTTAGTGCAGGGAGTTTTTCTGTGCTGAAAGAAAAGCGAGGTCCAGTGGGAGAGGTGCCAGTGGGGAGCAGAGGCTGAACACTGCACTCAGCAGTTTAGGACCTTTATTGGATCCTGGACCTGAGGAAACAATTTTCATAAGAAACTGATTAAGAGAGGTCTGAAATAAACTGCTTAATTTTCACCCTAAATTTGATTTACCTTTTTTGAGCAGCTTGTAGCCGTTACTGTAGTCCAAGGTTTGTTCCCCTGGCGTCTGCTTCTAGTTACCTGGAAGTGGCATTGTTTGGGGGGTTTTAGTGCTCCGCCTTTATCCTTTCAGCGGCTTCCACCTCCAAGCAGAGCAGACCAGCTGGATGCAGGAAAGAGAAGCACAAGCGTCAGAAGCTGCCCACGCCCCTGGGCGGCAGCAGCTCGGACAGCAGCATGAGCCCCCGCAGCCGGGGGTTGCTCCCGGGCACGCAGCCCTGCTGCCCTCCTGCAGGCCCTGCTGCCCGGCCCTCGGGCCTGGCACTGCCCTGCACCACCGTGATGCTTCCCAGCCCAGCCCCACACCTCCTGGCCCTCCCAGCAGTGACCTCCCTGGGAGCACAAAGCACGGAAGCCTGGGGGCCTGCGCCTGTGAGCCTGCCCACGCCTCCCTGGCCCAGCGGCCTGCACACTCTTCCTGCCCCCCCTGCTCCTTCCTTGGACACTTTCATGACCATCCTCCTGCACGCCCCTCCCATCTGTCCTCCTTGGTCACCGTCCTTCTCTCCACATCCTACCTGGGGGGCCTCGGGTGCTTCTGAAATGCCACCTGCAGCATCCCAAGTGGCTGCAAACCTAGAAACACCTTGTTCAGTGGAAAGCCACAGGAGAGAAGAAGACAAATGGGAGGCCTGCAGCGAGGAGCCCCCAAGCGTGAATTCTAGGAGCAGCTCACCGCTGCAGTTAAACCTGCTCCAGGAAGAGATGCCGGAGCCCGGGGCCTCTCGCGACTCAATGAGGAGGGACATTTGCCCAGAGGCCGAAGGTGTAAGTAACGCTTCATGTTAGCACACAGATGGGAAAGTTGTATGTGGATCGCTTATTAGAGCTGGGGGTCCTTTGTGGGAGTGACCCCATCTCAGCTGTGACTGACAGCTTCAGTCTGCATGCTACACAGTGTATCCCCCTGACCTCAGCGCGGAGCGGCAGCGCCCTGCAGGTGTCTGTACATGGCTCCTTCTGCCTTTTAAACTTGACTTCCAGGTGTTAAGCTTAATGTGTTCGCTGGCTCCAGAGAGTATTTTCTTACACCTGCCCTGATGGTTGGGAAAGACAGGCATAAGCCCTGCGGCAGGATAGAAGTTAGTGCTCACATTTTTTTCATGCACTATTATGGACAGTAATTGTGTGTTAAAATGGAGTCACTTTTTGTCATTGTCAGAGGGGAGGCAGTTTATAATGCCCTGTTTCGTATGCCTTTCTTTTTTTTTTTTTTTTGCAGAACCGGGGATTGAACTCATGCCCTTGCACTTGCCAGGGAAGCGCTTATTCCACTGAGCTGTCTCCCCAGCCCTACATGCCATTTTTAAAAAGAAAAACATTTATAAACTTCTCAAAGCCTATCCTCGGGTTTATCTATCAGGTTAATCTTTGGAATCTGACATTTGGGTAATCAGGTATGTAGTGTGAGTGTGAGTACTTACACAGGTTCCCTTCAGTGCTCACATTCAGTGTTCCCTTCAGTGCTTAAGGTATAGATGTTCAAAACATGCCGACTCCCTGTGTGCAGACAGTCCTAAAGAGCAGAGTCAAGGCAGAGCCTGGCCAGGGCGGGAGACACTGGCTGGGTCGCAGCACTTCCAGCTGCTAGGCTGGCTGAGATCGCTGTTGAACCTTTCTCTGCCTTGATCTCCATACTGGAAAAGAGGGGAGAAGACCAGTGCCTGGCTTGTTCCGGGCTGCAGCATCTCCCGCGCGGTGCCAGCCCTGAGAGAGCTGGGACCTCCTGTCATCCGCAGCTGTGTCCGCAGCTTACAGCACAGCACATGTGGGCACATTTGCCAAATGATAAACTAAAGCCCACCCTCGTGTGATGCATGCCGCATAGTAGGTCTCCAGGGCCAGCAGTGCCTTCCTGCAGTAGACGCAGGAGCTTCAGCTGCATCCTTGGGGACAGGCTGGGAGTCCTCCCTTGTCAGCTACAGGTATATGCTATGTTCTGCTCGGCCTGTGAAGCCGGAGCTCTGAAGTCAGCTGCTAGGCTGGGAGTGCTAAACTCCTGTTCTCTTGTCCCTTCTTCCTAGCACTGTGTTAGCAAGAGCAGGGGCCGCAGTGACCTGTCCACGGCATCCATTCCCAAGGCGTCTCTGTCTGGAACAGGATCTGCAGCCTCAGGTAGCGCGTGGCTCAGGAAAGCCCCTCTCCACACCCTGTTGCTGTCACTAACCAAGTGAAGATGTTTTCCTTTTTTTTTTTTTTTTTGTAGGCTATATGGAGATAGATTTACATACAATAAAATTCACCAGTTGTAGATGTAGAAAACAAGAATTCTAACAGGTGTGTAGGTCAGGGTCAGCACCAGCGGTCACTCTAGAACGTACATACCCTTGCCTCTGGAGTTCTTCTGTGACCCTTTATGTCATCTCCTGTCCTGCAAAATACGGATTTGATCTCTTCCACTTTAGTTTTGCTTCTTTCAGTGCATGTAAGTTGAGTTCAGCACAAAGTCCTTTGTGTTGGGGTGCTTTCCACTAGAATAATGCTGTTGACATTCATGTTTACCGTCTAAGGGTCTAATCAGAATGCAGTGACCATTTAAATTGTAACGGTTTCAGGCCGGCCAAATAGCTCAGCGGATTAAAGCACCTCAAGCAAGCTAGGGGCCGGGGGTTTGATCCCTGGGCCTGCTGTGCCAGCCCCACCTCCAGGGTACACTGAGATGGCAATTGAGACTGGGCGTGGTGGCGCGCGCCTGTAATCCCAGCTCTTGGGAGGCTGTAAAGAGGCAGATCACTACTAATCTGATCTAGTAGTGAGACCCTGAACACCCTGCAGACCCTTCCCTAAAATACAAGAATTTTTAAAAATCATACCGGTTTCCCACACTTAAAGACGTGTTGCCGTTGATCCTCTTCTCACTTCAGACACACCCAGTGCTTTCATGCTTGCTGGTTCCCAAAGTCCTTTTTAGTGAGTGTCTTTACAAGGTGTGATCAAAACCAGTGAGTGCTGCTGCCCAGGACACCAGCGGGTGGCAGGCTTCTCACGGGCCATCCAGTGTGTCCTTCCCCACCTTTCTCACTGGATCTGGTACAGTGTGACTTCGGCTCTTCCCCAAAATCAGAACGGCTCTGCAAGGTGAACGTTTTGGACTGATGGAGGACCGCAAGGCAGCCGTGGCTGCGCAGCTGCAGGCAAGAAGGCCCGCGCTCCAGAGCTGCTTCCGCACGTGCGCACAGTGACGCCGCGGTCAGCGTGCCCGGAACGTGCACTGTGCGCCGAGAGCAGCAGCGTGTCTTGTACTGAAACACACTGAAAACTTAAGAGACTCACCTTAGTTTTCTGTCGGAGCTTGTATGTATCGGCAGCTTGTTCCCTTTCACTGACACCCGGAGTGGCAGACGGCACGTGGCTGGCCGTGCACCAGTGCGAGACCGATTGTCTCTGGCCTGGCGCTGTGATCAGCAATGCTGCTGCATACATTGCAGGACGAGGCCTTTCGCGGACTGTGCTTTCAGTTACCCGGCTGAATGCCTGGGGTGAGACAGGCCAGGCAGGAGGTGTGCGGCGCCGCGTAGACGCTGCAGGCTGTTTCCAGAGTTCCTGTGGCCGGCCGAGTGCTGTACCGGGGCGGCTGGTGCTGCGGTGTGCAGGACGAGGGCGGGGTGGGCAGAGGAGCTCCGGCGGGGGTGTTCTAGCTGGCTGTTGGTGCTGGTTGGCAGGAAGCAGCGGCAGCGGCGCGCACCTCACCAGCAGCGACCGTTCTTCCGAGCGCTCTGAGAAGGCGTGGCAGTCTCCAGGTGCACAGCAGGAGGGAGCTCAGCCCCCGCTAGCCGAGGACTCCATCTGGAGGATGATTGAGCAGATGCCTGAACGGGTCCTGATGACTTACCAGGTCCCCGCGAGGTGAGGGAGCATTAAAGACCCTCTGCATACTGTCATGGCTTCCACTGTTTTCTAATAAAAATGATTCTTAAATATATTAGACCTCTGTTAGAAAAGTGTGTCTTAAGATCCACTCCTCAGAAGTCCACAGTGTTGGTTTATTTCCTCTTAATTGCTTAAGGCTGACAGTGGTGGGGCCACGTGCGTCCACATGCTCCTCACCGAGTCTGGAGGGCCAGGGAAGCTCGTCCTTCCCACGGTGCAGGGACTGCAGAGGACAGGCCCTAGGCACATCTAGAGAGCCCGTCTCCTGTCCTCCATTGAAGCACATGGTGGTTTTCACTGAAGTCTGTACCTCACAGTAAGGAGAGCTAGAGCAGGTCACCACCAAGCGGTGCTGCCTATAGATGACTTCAGCGGAGCCCCAGGAAGTTCGGTCTGTGTTTCCAGGGTTAAAGAGGTTGTGCTCAAGGAAGACCTAGCAAAGCTAGAGAGCATGAGACGGCAGCAGCCCCAGTTTTCTCCTCGGCAGAAGGAGGAGCTGGCCAAGATGCACTTGTGGATTCAAGGCCAGAGCATCCCTCAAGAAGCGCACGTGCGGGTAAGCGTGGGAACAGCTGTGTTCATTGGGGCTGCACTGGGCGGGCTGAGTTAAAGCTGTGTCTTGCAGGGTCCTACTGGAAGCTTTAGTCCTTGCAGCTGCCTCTGGTAGGTGCTGTTGTCCCTGCTCTCCTGGAGGAGCAGTGAGGAGAGGCAGGCACATGGTAAGGAAGGCGGGCCCCAGGCTGTGCAGGGCCCGCAGCTCGAGAATATAGGGCTGTTGACAGCAAGTGTCTTTTTTTTTTACACTGCTTGCTGTGTGGAGCAGCATAGATGGCTTATTTTACATCCAGTTGCCTGGGGAGGAGAGGTACAAGAGGTAGGCACTTCAGATACGCATGTTCCAAAAGAATTAAAGTTCTAGCTAAGTGTAGTGGTGCACACCTCTAATCCAGGCGCTCTGAGAGGCTGAGACAGGAGTATTACAAGGTTGATCTCAGCCTGGGTGAATTAGCAACTTAGCAAGACTGTACCTCAAAAAGAAAAAAAATTAAAGGCTGAGGATATAATTCAGTGTAATCTTGGGTTCAATTTCCAGTGCCCCTCCCCCCAATAATAATCTGGAAGATTAAAATAAGCAGCCAAAGCAAGATGCAAAATTCAGGACCTGACTAAGACACCAGAGGAAGTATTCTTACCTAGCAGGAGCTTGGAAGGGGACACGTGGTCTCTTGCAGCCCGAGGCCTCAGAGAGCTCCTCTGTGAGCATTACAGACAGCGAGACCCCGGCCCCCAGCATTTGTGCTGCGTGTGAGTCACGGCAGATGTGTGGAGGTTGTGGTGTGATCTTTTATCGCCTCAGATATCAAGGTGTGGGAGGATGAGGAGTTGAGTTTACAATCTGAATGAAGTTGCAGGGCGGGGTGTAGCTCAGCAGCACAAGTGCCTGACTGGCAAGCCCGAGTCCTGAGCTCACCTCCTGGTACCCAAATAGCACATTGCATATTCCAAAGCACATCACATAAAGCGTGCCGTCCTAAGTAGTTTTAAGTGCACGGTTCAGACATTAAACTCATTCAGATCGCTGTGCTGTGGGCACCATCTGCCTTCTGAACTCTTGGTAGCACACTGGTACTCACTAGCTCAGCAGCTCTGTGCTTCTCTCCCCTTGAGCTCTCTCCCTGGAAGTCTGACTGCCTGGAGCCGGGGTGTGGGTGCTCTGTCCACAGCTGGCTCCTTCGCGGGTCACTGCCTGCTGGTCTGTCTGCCCAGCCTCCCCGTCACCCCCTTTGTGTCTAGGTCTCACTGCCTGCTGGTCTGTCTGCCCAGCCTCCCCGTCACCCCGTGTGTCTAGGTCTCACTGCCTGCTGGTCTGTCTGCCCAGCCTCCCCGTCACCCCCCGTGTGTCTAGGTCTCACTGCCTGCTGGTCTGTCTGCCCAGCCTCCCCGTCACCCTGTGTGTCTAGGTCTGATTCTCTCTCTATAGGTAACATGTGAGTTGCATCATTTTTAAATCACAGGAGGTTTGTGTACTTATTTTTTGGAAAGTTCAACTCATTTATTTTTAAAATGGTTCCTGATCAAGAGGGAAGGGACTTTCACCCTTTTGCTTTCCTCTAAAGCGCCTTTTGTCCCTCATTGCCTGTCTCATTGTCTTCTTTTGTTTGGTTGGGATTTTTTGCAGTGAAATGTTTCCGTTTTCTGCTCATTTCCCGTTAGGTGTATGCTCCAGTCACCTTCTTCTTGGTAACTGTGAGGGTTATATCCAACAGCAGCTTACCTTGGCATGAGAATTGCTTCTTTAGAGCTTCATTCCCGCCTCCTTTCAGGTATTATTACCAAATTAAACCTCAACACATGGATGTCCAAAACACTTAATTGGTCTTGTGTGTTAATCTCTTAAGTAGTGTAGAAAATAAAATGTATAATTAGAAACCAAAGTTACAAAAGTACTACCATTTGGACTGGTAGTTTTCCTGAAATTCATTAGTCTTATGGAAAAAAA